GTTAAATGTCAACACTGAAGAGCTTACCGTATTGCATGTTATTCATAAAACTGCCTTATAACATTCCGGAAAGGACAGAAATTTTCACTGGTTTTCGTAAATAATTTTAAATTACATTGAACCCAACATTGAATAATGCAAAGATATTTAATAATTTGTTACAATTTATTACTTTAACTGAATGGCTGTCTAGAACATTTTAATACATTTTTTAATCTCTAGAACCATATTTAATATTTCAAAATAAAGCCATACATATATTTTTGAGTTACATAATTTGAAACCTTACGTGTACTTGAACACACGTATATGCGACAGGATAAGAAAAATCTAAGAAAATGAAAATCTCAATTAAAAATATACCAGTGATTATTGATTTCGTCTCCTTGTCAGAAACACATGTAAACACCTACAGCGGCGATATAAGTCACCTTTTTCCGTGACAATTTCACATTGTCCATTTTATATCAATGATGTACCACTCCATTTTAACGAACACTATGTCACCTTGTCTAATAAATTCCATCCATGAAGAATACATTTTATTCATAATTATTTACTTACCAGTAACAATGGTTAAGACGGGCGATCATTATGTTAACTTCGAAAGGCATACGAACATGTGAAACTGCTCCAAATGTAAAAAATGCAAGAATACCCTGACATACAAACTCACGTGCCCTTCAATTACTCGATTTGTTTGACAGCCTACCATATTTGCTGCCTTTGAATTATTGAAGTATCGGTTTTTATTAAAAATATGTTATTTACTTAAATTTAAATATAATTCAGAAACCACAAAATCATTTTTCTTGTGAATTATCACTCCAAAAACCAGATTACTCTCCCCTCTGAAAATCGCCCCTCAATTCAGCCTGAATTAATAGAAGAATGACTACTGGTTATGAAAATGGGACCCGACATCCATGTCCCGTGGAAGGGATCATGCAAGTTGAACTGCAAACATGTTACGTACTTTAACTTCACCATCACTGTGGCTGGATTCAGTTAAATATGAACTGTGAATTTAACATTTCCTTCTCAGCAAATTATTTACGTAGCAAACAGTATCAAACTTCTCTCATTTGCAGGCTGGTTTTTGAAATTCAGAAACTCTTACGGTTACTCATAATATTAAGCTCGTTTACTCTTCCTCAAACAAATAATTTGCAAGTTACTCCACTTCTGGGCACTGTGATGTTCCAGAAGTTATATAATCTCAGCAAACGTTAACAAGACTGCTCAAGGCGTTTTACAACCGTGTTTGCTCTAAGCCATGGCTCACTCCTATTAATGTAAAGAAAAATATTCTAAATTAACGCAGATAATCATCGGAAATAATAACAAATCGAGACAGATATAAAAACATCTAATCTACTTCCTTCAAAGAATGAGTGAACTTTTAAACCACTTGGTCTACCTGGCCTCAGAAGTGTGGTAGAGTGGTTGCTTCTCACAAGGCCTTTCAATCTCACATATCTTATATATGTGTCATCCCAAACGTTCTTAGTAAATGACGTCCGAATACGTAACAAATTCATGGCCAGAGGACAAGAAAGTTCAATCCGGAACTTCGTTCAACTTCCACCTAAAGAGTTCATCTTAAAAAAATCTTTCCTCACGTCATTATTCGCGAATTACTGGTTGCGCATGAAGAAATTTCATAAGAATTTATGAAAACATACAAACGAATTTTAATTTCCAACAAAATATACATTTTTAATTCTTTCTTGCATCCTGTTGTGTATTTAATCAATATTAGGGTTAATTTCACCGACCACACAACACGTTTTTATTATTGTCACACTATATGTTTCGACCTCAAGAGGTCATCCTCAGGTGTACGAACACAGTTGTACAATCACACGCAATCAAATTCGTTTTCCATCATGACAAGGAACGTAACAGATCCAGCATCAGAGGACGCGGAAGAGCAGCGAGACCTTCAAAAGTGAAAGTGCAGCCAATATGATAAGTTGAACTTTAATTCATGAACTTTTTAACCAGTGATAATAATATAACTAGTTAAAGTGAACTATACACAGAGAAAACAAGTGAATGTGAAAGTATAACCAGTGGTCGAAATTGAACTTCGACTCACGAAAAAAAAAATTTTAATTTTTAAAATTTTTAAATTTTAAATTTTAACTTTTAACATTTGAATAGTATTTTAACTTTATTTTATAAGAAGAACTTGACATATATTATTGAGCGTAGGCCTGAACAGGATACAGGATCGAAATAAGTTGAAAACGAATGTGATTGAGTGTGATTGTGCAACTGTGTTCGTACACCTGAGGATGACCTCTTGAGGTCGAAACATGTAGTGTGACAATACTAAAAACGTGTTGTGTGGTCGGTGAAATTAGCCCTAATATTTAAAATATACACCGCTGTATTTCCAATATTAATGATATCATATCGGATATTTAAATGGCTAGTGAATCCTGTGGTACGGAATTAGATTCAATGTTGCGCAGATCGTTATAATCATACTCATTTGCGCTTTGAAAGATCAAAGGGTTACGAGTATTTTGAAAATGTCTCCATTCATACTCATACCACGTATATGTTCTGGATTTTTCAAATTTCTTACAACTTGAAAAAGCTCACTTTACGATTTCACAGACTGTTTCAACTTTCAAATTAAGAAGATCATCAGATCTATGTAATACTTCGAGTTTTTAAAATTACGGACTCTAGTTACAACGAATTGTTTGCATTTTTAGGACAGCCAATTTTCTATAGTTGGATTGATTTTTATAACATGTGCGTAATTCTTGGACATTTCAATCTACTTCAAATCACCATTCATGAGCTAAGTGGAATTTAAACAATATTTTCGCTACCTTATAATCCAAGGCCGCGCAATAGCTCAACCGGTTAGTCGCTGGTTTCCCACCGCGGAGGCACGAGTTCGATCCCGGGTCTGGTCAACGGGGATTTGTGGTGGACAAAGTGGCGCTGGGGCAGGCTTTCTCCAAGTACTTTGGATTCCCCTGCCAATCTTCATTCCACCAATTGCTCCACAATCACCCTCACCTATCATCTGGGGCTGGTACAATACTCCAGAAGTGGCCGCAGTGCAAGGGACTTAGTCCCACCCCACTAGCAATAAAAAAAAATCTTATAATCCGAATCTATGTAAAATATCTGAGGGCATTTAGCATTTGTAGTTCGAGAAATTTTCAAAATTTCAGCAATATATACATGATTAACAATTTCGTAAGGTAAATATAAAATCTTATAATAATTAGCTTCGGTTAGGTTATGATATGAAGGGAAAATTTTAGATACCTCATCAGAAGATTTTGAAAGCACTCTGTGCATTCTACTATATCTTCAAGGCAGCCAGGCCGGATTGGATTAGGTTGCGCACAGTTAACTCACTAGCTCAAATAGCATGAGCTTCTGCTTCTAGCTGCACACTACCCTGCACATAAATCTCAACCACTTACGTACCAGGGTACTGCTGAAACAAATTGTATAGTGTTGCAAAAGAGTACAACAGATTACGTTAGGTCTGGTACTGTCAGACTGAGAAATTTCTTAATTTCTTTAACTTCTAGTCTTATAAAATTCCTGACATATCCCTAAGACACATTTGTGGAATATTTGGAAGATTTATATGTTTTGAGCAGCTTCGACAACATAAAACAACTTAATGTCTCGGAAATATTGATTTACCTTATAGACTACTATCCAAACGTTTGTTCTTGCTGAGTTATTCCAAAGTGACGTTTCGAAACTTTCAGTGTTTTCGTTTTCTGGAAAAATCTTCAAAATTTCTCGAAATTTCGCTCTTCGTACTAGTTTCCACCTTTCAAAAAAAAATCTTCGAATCTGAAATTTTAGACATTTTCCTAGACTTGATTACCTTTCAGAATTCCCATTTTCGCAAACTCTACTTCTTTCGAAAACATTCAGAACACTTCAATCTTTCTACATTTATAAGTATGCAAAGAGATTAATTTTTATTTAATAATTTTTAACAGCAATGTACGCTATTCTCAAAATTTCGAAACATTTTAAATTTTGAAGATTTTCTGTAGACTAGATTTTAGATTATTTCTCTAATCATATTAGACTGTAAATTTGATTTTTATAAAATTTATGAAAATTGTAATTAATTTTCTTACACAAATATGGAAGCTTATTTTTACATGATCATAAACGAACTAAAAACTATATATCTGAAAATAATATCTTTCCAGTTATTTGTTATAGTTTTCGTCTGAATGACAATTAATACTTTAATTTAATTCACACTATTCTTGCCCTAACACGTAAACTAATTTAGGTGACCTTTTTAAAATCATCTTTTAACAACAACTGTAGACCATATTTAATTTTAATATACTCTAAGACGTTATGATAATTAAATTATACGTAGCACTTTCGTAATAGTGAAATATGACATTAACCTCCTGAATTATATACATCCTGTTAAACATATTTTCCTTAGATATAATTGACTACTACCCTGTTTCTTCCTCCACGGCGGTTACATTATTTTGTGAGGGTAACTAGGAAAGTGTTTTCATAAGTTTCATAGAAACACACACAAAAAAAATTCAAAGTGTATTTACAGGGACAGAAACAACATCTAATTAATTTTTAATAAAATCGGAAAATAGGAACTTAAAAATATTTTAACAGAGCTAACATCGCTTTGGTAGTTTATTTCTGTGTCCACATTCTTTCCCAATTTTTGGTCTTTCATATCTAGTACTATCCAAAAATAACATTACATAAACTCCGAGCGTAATATGAATTACCCGACATCATCTTAAAACCTCGACAGTACCAAGCCTGCTCTATTGGAGGAGTCTTCTTGCTAACGTATTTGGGCGAAACATCTGTTTTTCAGTCGGCGACTAAAACAGATGCCAGCTGCATATTTACACGGAACAGTTTCTTCGAATTTATTCATATATTAATATTTACTTACCAGTAAGCGTACCACACGCAGTATTTTAGAGAACGTTACCTTCACTTACCGTAAAACCGATACCCACGGTAGCTGAGAACGTCCCAGTCTGAAATTTCCCTGTGTCGAACTGCACTAATAAAGATGTTTTCCCGACTCCGCTGTCCCCCAGCAAAATTGTCTGCAACATAAAACGATTCCACGTGTTTACGTAAAGAGTTTTAAACCAATGTAGTCTAGCTTAGTTCTACCCGTAAGTGGATACATTGCGTATGAATACATAGCACATCATGATTAAACTGTCTGTTCCCCATTTATCAAAATTCAGAGATTATTTTAGTAGCCTATTCAATTTCATCAACTGTCTCTCTTAAACTTTTGTTTACGTATTTCCTCAGAAGGACACTGGGAAATTAAATGTATGCGTTTCTTTATTGCTAGTGGGGTGGGACTAAGTCCCTTGCAATGCGGCCACTTCTGGCCTATTGTTCGAGCCCCAGATGATAGGTGAGGGTGATTGTGGAGCAATTGGTGGAATGAATATTGGCAGGGGAAACCGAAGTACTCGGAGAAAACCTGCCCCAGCGCCACTTTGTCCACCACAAATCCCACTTGACCAGACCCGGGATCGAACCCGGGTCGCCGCGGTGGGAAGCCAGCGACTAACCGCTTGAGCTATGGCGCGGCCCTTATAAGTATGGGTTACTACTATTAATGAATATACAGGAACCCCAAATATTCGTAAACACCACTACTCTTTAAACAACAGCTTACAATTTACCTGCGAAGTATTAAAACCGCACGTGTCTGATGAAATTGCTGTGCTAATTCTTTCTGTCATCATTAGCTCCAATAATTACCTTCATGTATATGAATTTTGATCGAATGTAAATGGACGGTATGTCGACCAGGATTGACAGGATCCGTGACATTTCGTAGAACCTACAGTGACGCAATTAAATTCCGATTAACGAAGTGGTTACGTTCATTTCAAACAACGCGTAGGGGAAAAGCCTAATTCAGAGACATTTTTATAGAATCAATAAAAATGTGGCTTATATTTTCATGGAAGGATGGAGATTGTGTTATTACAATTGTATATTATATTAAAATGAGAATAAACTAATTAGTTTATGTCAAACAGGGGTAGCAGAAACAGATTCTTCTGATTCCTATACAACAGCTACATTTTTAAACGTAAAACTTAAAATTACACGAGATGCTATATTCCCGCAGAAGTGCGCATGCTCTCGATCCCCCACGCGGGAAATCAAGGTGGCGGAATTCCAAGATGGAGCAAAGCGAAATGCCGAACAGCCCATAGGCTGTAAATGTGGGTTCATAGTGCACGTATAAGGATAAAAACGCACAGACACCCTACCTAAAAACTATCAAACTGAAAAGGGTAAAAGCGATTATAGATATACGCGTATTTCGAAGACGATAAAAAGTTAACGATATTTTTAGCACATAAGTTTTCCAGAGATATTGTGCATTACTTAAGAGAACCGTCCCCTATAAGCATAAAAACGACGGGAGTTACTGGGGATAACTCTTACAAAAGTAAATTAAAGAAGACGACGGAGATGCACGGGGATAATTCCTAAAAAAAAAAAATACCAAAATTAAGAATATGGGAACAACTCAGGAAATATCTTAGCAAGAAGCAATTAATCAGAATAACAGTATGCAAAATAATATAAAGCAATGAAAACGGAAATCTCCTTCACTGGTTACATCCTGTTCTGTGTTTTTCAAATTATACTCTCGTACGTCAGAATTATGTAGCAGCAATAAAGATCGAATATTAAAAACTGAGTATTAGTTGTGTTGGCGGTTGACATAATTTTTATACCAAAACACACACACACATACATACACACACACACATATATATATATATATCGAAAACGGAAACGTATCAGGAAAATACTGTAGTGTCTAGGCCCGTTACTGAATAATAACCTCGAAAAAACAACGAAACATCTGCTCCTAGGCAACAGATTCTTAATAAGCAAGTATACACAGCCGTTACTGGGCAACGCCTTCGCAAACAAACACGTTGCCATGGAAACGATTGGAGTACGAAAATGAACGGTGTTTTCTTCTAGGTCCGTGCTAAGATGTTATAACAGACAAGCTTGGAAGTTAATCAGTTGTAACAGAGTCAGTTACAAGAGAGTTGTAAGGGAATCTGTGAAGAGAAGACTTGATCGGTGCAGTTGAAGTATCCCCACTGTTAAAAGCCGTTACCAGGGAAAAACTGGTGAAGACACAGCAGACTGAAACGCGTTAGCGTGTGCTGTAGTTATTTGTAAAGTGTGTAAATCATTGATGGCGCTGTATAATTAAGTGCAATCATGAGTCATATGTTAAAGTAGTCAATAAATCCAATCTCCAATCAAAAATCCCATAGAGATTCACACTCCAACACGTGATAGTATTCAGAAGATCCGACATCTGGAATGAAATTCAGAGCAGAATAATCTGAGAACCAAGCAAAATTCATTAATATCATTGGTCGGTAAAATTCCACAGTAACGAACATTAAAGAGGAGTATAGTTCGGTATCTATCGGAGTAGAATTGTCAGTAAGGGGGTAAAGTGGAGGGAGGAGGACAACCTCCTACATTCTCACATAGCGAGGGAGTAGCTGAATGGCCTCAATATAAACACTGGAGAGCACCTGTTGCTATGAGGCTTCTGTAAGCACTGATGTCCTATTCGTGTTTTGGAGTTTAGAATTTAAAACACGGCTGCTAACTTCGGACTGTCTTTTTCTGCCCTAACACAAGATCAATGATACTCAGTAAACCGGCTATGGCCGCGCCATAGCTCAAGCCGTTAGTCGCTGGCTTCCCACCGCGGCGGCTCGGGTTCGATCCCGGATCTGGACAAGTGCGATTTGTGGTGGACAAAGTGGCGCTGGGGCAGGTTTACTCCGAGTACTTCGGTTTCCCCTGTCAATCTTCATTCCACCAAATCCTCCATTATCATAATCACCCGGGACAGGCTACAATCAGCCAATCAGTGGCCGCCGTGCCGAGTGGACACAGTTGGACTCCACCCCCCCCTCCCCCACTAAGCGAATTAAAAAAACTGCTCTAACTATGACGTGTTTGGTCACATAGATCATACCTCTGCGTAGAACTACTAGGATGCAACTGTTTGGCCGTTAGACAACGGGGTTAACGTGTTTATTTGCACGGCTCAAAGGAGTAGTGAGAATAGCTTTAGCAGACACTGAGTGTCTCTCTCATTCATCCTATTTCCCGTCTATCTACAGAATAAAACTAATAGAATCAATCACAAAAGTTTGACTAGCATAAGGGCGTAAACATTTATGACCAAGCTTTGCTCTGAGGAACGTACACTGCGTTTCCTTTCTTTCTTTGTCTAAGTTTTTTCTTTAGAATTTCTAGCAGAATATGGATTTGGAGTCATTTTCATACAGAATGTCCCCTCTTAGATTTTAACCATACGTATACGGACTTGGGGTACGAAAGCATAGCGTATCCCGAAAATCACAGTGGCAGAAATACAAAAATATGAACACGTGCCTTGAGATGTTAATCTCTTACTGAACTCAACCCCTTTCATGCTTAGTCGAAACTCAGCGAACCCTTAAAATAATAGGACGATAAAAAATGTTTCATACCCGTTCCTTATGTCATTTTTCGTAATAGACAGTTTTTATATTAAAATACTAAGTGAGGCTTGTTGCCGGTCACGATAGCCGAGCGGTCTAAGGCATGCACTGACTTTGCTCAATCAGAAGCCGGTATCGTGGGTTCGAATCCCACTCAGGGCATGGATGTTCAGTGTTTGTGTATGTGTGAGCATTTCCTTGTGTTTGTGTACAGGTAGTGGCCTTGCGACGAACTGATTACCCGTCCAAGAAGTCCTACCGAATGTCCCAGATCTAGTGAACTGAAGTAAAACGGAGAGTTTCATGGAGGTAAGCCAAGGCCCAAAATGGGGCTGTAACGCCAAGGGGGGGAGGGGAAGCGAGGCTTCTTACCATCCATTTTTTTTTTTGGCTAGTGGGGTTGGACTAAGTCCCTTGTACTGCGGCCACTTCTGGCCTGTTGTACCAGCCCCAGATGATATGTGAAGGTAATTGTGGAGTAATTGGTGGAATGAAGATTCGTAGGGGAAACCGAAGTACTCGGAGAAAACCTGCCCCAGTGCCACTTTCTTCACCACAAATCCCCCTTGACCAGACCCGGGATCGATCCCGGGCCGCCGCGGTGGGAACCCAGCGACCGACCGCTTGAGGTATGGCGCGGTCGATACTCGAGGTAACTTACACTTTAAAACAACTAAACATAATTTCAGTGCTGTGATGACGTGTAAGGTTCCGTGCTGTGTTCCTGATCCAGCAGTTTCTATGGCCGGCACAGTGTACGATATACAGCAGTGTAGTAAAAAAGTCTTTAGAAAGAATATTTCTTTAATGCGGTGATCTGAAGAGCGAGTCGGAAACTCACAGTCAGCAGAATTCCCGTGGGTCTTAACATCTCAAAGAACACGGCATTTGAACAAGATGATCTACAGGCCTACATGTTACAATGCTCTGATTTCAGCCTGTGGACAATTCCACTTGCAAACCGCAATTATCGCTCACATTGCCGGCAGCCCTCTCACCGTGATCGAAATGGCGGGAGTTGCGGTCTGCAGAATAAACTTTGTTCAAACGTTAGAGTAATCAGTTTACCAACATTGTTCTCCTCGGAATAACTACCACGTATTGCATTATCCCTCCGAGCAACCGCTTTCATCCTCAGTTTCTGAATTCGTATAAACGGAATAATTAAATCATCTGTCTCCCCATACCGACAAGTTTTATGTTGCCGAAGTCTTGCCGTCTATACGAGATGACAAACGAGTTCTTCCACAGGCCTAACGATATCGAAAATTTTAACATTAGACAGAATTCCTGGAACTGAGTTCCGACTTCCTTGTACATTCTAGAAGATAGGGAAAGTTAGCAGACACGAAAACATGCAGCAAGGTAACGTCGAAATGCACCATTAAATATGCAATTGATAGAAGTACGGCTGTGTGTACTTTTATCTTGAAAGTCACGTGTGTGCAAACCAGTAGCTGAGATCTAATCTAAACCGTTTATATATTTAAACAGTATAACAATTTTTACTATTTCCAACATGTATGTGGACA